AGAATTCCCCAACCAGAATTCTGGGAGTTGAAGTCCACGCATCTTAAAGTGGCCAAGTTTGGACAACACTGACCTAAGCTATTGACTTCATTATTGTGCTGCCGAATTAGCTGTCCCAAATGGAGCCCTCTGACTCATTTCAAACAGTGCCCCGCGACGCCTGATGAACTTCCAGAGAAGTTCTCCACTAAGCACAGCCTGCAAGTCAGGAGTCCTTGAGCAGCTGAAAAGTATCCCAGCCTAAACTTTTCTGCCATGACTTCCTAACCCAGTATTCTGCTTTAGGACCAAGGTTGGCAGGTGGAGATAACCCTGCAGTTTTAAGGAAAGTGATTGGTGGATTCCTCAGGCTTTTCCCCCTCCCACTGAGCAGGTGTGAAAACAATTCTCAATCACTCTCCCCAAGGCAGGCTAGGAGAAAGCCAGTTTGGTGTAGTGAGTAAGGCATCAGGCTAGAAACTGGGAGACCGTGCGTTCTAGTCCCGCTTTAGACATGAAGTCAGCTGGGTGACCTTGGGCTAGTCACTCTCTCTCAACCCAAGGAAGGGAGCAATGGCAAACCACCTCTGAAAAACCTTGCCAAGAAAACTGCAGGGACTAGTCCAGGCAGTTGCTAGGAGTCAAAACTGACTTGAAGGGCTTTTTTAAAACATGGGTTTAGCACTCTTCTGAGAGAATGCTAAACTTGTGCTTTGGCTGCTTTGTAGTTTTAGCACTCTTTCCCAAAAAAAAAGCAGCAGCAACAACAATCCTGAACCCTTGTTTAACAGAGGTACAGGAAGCCCCCAGTTTATGAATGAGTTCCGTTCCTAAGGTCTGTCCTTAAGTGAATTTGTATGTAAGCCGGAACAGTATTATTTTAAAATACTGTGTAAGTAGTATTGTGCAATGAACTCAAACCATTGTGGTTTTAACGGGAATCATTGTGTATTTAACTCGAATAACTATAATAGGCTTCATTCTTAACTATGAGTCATCTGTAAATTGGGCATTCTTAACCCGGGGACTACCTGTATAACAGCTGATTGCGAGGGCAATTGTCTTGTGCACACAGAGAGAGAGCACCTTCAGACTTAACAGTTGTAACTGCCATCCCCACCCCAAAATCTGTCAAGCTCCACTACTGGTTTAGCACTGCTCTGAAACAGTGCTAAAAGCAGAGCTCTAAAGCTAACCCAAAGAACTACAGAAAGTTTCTAGGAAGGGCATGTGGAGAAGTGATATGTCTCCTTCACTATGCTACTTCCCCATGGATGTCACATGGCCAGATTCTCCCATGTTGAACAGCAGAATGGCTCTGGAAAACAATGCTCAGGGACTGGAGGGGTGGGGGACATGCTTGGAACAGCCTGAAATGGCCAATAGGAGCTGGGCAGATCCCAGCCCCTGATCACACCTTCATCCACATGACCAGTGAAGCATCCGAGAGCATGTCTACAGCAAACAATAGGTCAGGAGGAAAAAAGGCTAAAGCTGGAACAGCTAAAGACAACTTTAGCTGTGGGCTGGGCATGTGATGAAGGCAATATCAGATGGGCATGGCATGTTAAAACCATTTATGCCTCATGTTCAAACCTCAGATAGTAGATGAGAAAATAAGCCCACCAGCTCCCTCCCCTCCATTGGTGGATTCTTACCTGCAACGAAACAACTGGGTAGTGCCAACTTAATTAGTACCAATTAAAATGACATGCAAGAGTCTGCATGTACTCCAGAGCTCTTGGTCACCCTAAGGATTACAAAATGCAGGGGATGGCCATGATGCAACACAGTCCAGAAATTAAGCCAGCTGTTGAGGAATGCAGTTTGAACTCAGCTTTGAAATGAGGGCTGTAAACTGAATGCATTTTTGTTAGTGCAGATGTAACTCTCAGGGACAAACTAGTGATGGCACCTCAAGCTCTGAAAACAGAAGGCAATTTCATTCCAGATCTGTTTCTAACCATTGGTGAAACACATCTGCGTGGCTGGAACTCTCCTGGTTTGAAAAGAGGAGAAGGAATGAGATTTGCCTAAAGAGGCTACAAAGTACTTCCTTTCCTCTCTGGGGCAAATAACCTCTCTTGAGAAGGGGTAAGTTGAGGTTCCTGCACAGGCTGTTGATACAGTATGTGTAGTGTGCCCCTATATGAAAGTTCTGTCTGTAGTATGGGACCTATGACAGTTCATCCACATGTGCAAAATCATGTGAATGGCCAAGGGACAAGCTTGTCCTTGCCTATAGCAATCCCCAGACATATTTTCCCATGTTATTTCCTTCAAGGAAAGCAATTTCATGAAGGTGTGAATTGAGCTCTCAACATGCAAGTCAGTCTGAGTCAGAGCCTCGGTGTACTTTTAAGCTTTCAGCTCAACATCCTGGCTGTTTACTTAGAAGTAAGTCCCATAAGTGTAATCACATTCTGGAGAGTGCATCTCCTAGACGAAAATCATAAGGCATAGTTTCCAGACAAGGTTGCACTTTCTAGGAATTAATACTGTTAGTTTTCTGGACGCTGTCCTGAAGTGGAACATGGATTGCAGCCAAACAATGCAGTCTAATAAATGTAATTAAAATTTGAAAAAAGGGAAAAAAAACACGTTAGGGTACATTTTCATTGTATTGTTATTGCATCTTGGAACCATACAATGTTTGTATCTGGGAATCAACTGCGTTATTCTTATCCCCACTCCACCACTGGAAAGCCAGTGCCGTGCTCTTACAATTAAGTAAAATAAGGCTATCAACATATGGATGATATAAAGGTAGTCCTCGCTTAACGACCAGTTGGGACCAGAATTAGGTCACTAAGTGATGTGGTTGTTAAGCAAATCATCACATGACCAGACCCAATTTTACAACCTTTTTTGTAATGCCATTAAGTGAATCACCAGTCGTTAAGTGAATCACATGGTCATTAAGCGAATCATGCAATTGTTAAGTGAATCACACAGTTCCCCATTGATTTTGCTTGCCAGAAGCCAGCTGGGAAAGTTGCAAATGGCAATCACATGACTCCAGGATGCTGCAACTGTCATAAGTGCGAGCTGGTTGCCAAGCGCCCAGATCGCGATCACGTGACCGCAGGGACGCTGTGACTGTCATAACTTCAGGCACCAGTCGTAAGTAACTTTTTTAAGACTGTTGTAATTTTGAACAGTTGCTAAGTGAACGGCCGTTAAGTGAGCACTACCTGTATTTTGCCTTTACTCTGAGTAGAACAACAGAATTATTTGATGAGGCGGCAAATGTATCTCGTGTCAGATTTCTGAAGAAGAAGGAATGGTATATTTCATATTAACAATCTGATCCTAATCTTACGTTGTCCAAAGTAAGAATGATTGATTTTGTTCAAATTAAGACTTCCTGATTTTGATGGACTGGAGAGCAAGCTAAAGAGAGAAGTGAATATCTGTGGCTTAAAAGAAAGCTCTTCTGTTATCTTTTTGTTATTATTTATTTATTTACCCTACCTTCCATTGTGTATAAGCATTCACAGCTTTCAATAACTAAAAATACAAACCATAAAACAGAAGAGCAATACAAT